GCATAGGCCGGTTGTGCAGAAGCCGAGGCAGTCAGCAGTCGGAAAGGATCGAGGCCGGGTCAGGCAGACAGGGTGAGGCATTCGCGGAGGTTGGCATGCATCTCTTGGTGAGAGGTTTCAAAAAAATTTCAAAATTTTCGAAAAATCAAAAAACGCTGGAAATTGTCTGAAAAGCGCACAAAAGCAAAAAATTTTGAAATTTTTGAAAAGAAATTTGAAGGTGGAATTTAAAAAAAAAATTGTTTTTGTGCGCTTTTCAGACAAATTCCAGCATTTTTTGATTTTTCGAAAATTTTGAAAATTTTAAATATTTTTTCTAATCATTCCCCAAGTGATGCCTGCGAAACTCGGTGAATGCCTCTCTCTCTCTCTGCCGGACTCAGCCTATATCTCACCTGGTTGCTGCCTGCCTCGGTGTCTGCACTAACCAGCCTCTGCAGGTCTCGGTCTCTGCCTTACGTGTTGCCTGCAGCACCTTGGCTTCTCAGAGACGGCATGATAGAGCCGTGTCATACAGAGACCGGTGTGTGCAGAGCCCGAGTCAGGCACAGACCGCATTCGTCAGAGACACAGTACAACAGAAACTATGGTTTTAATCATGAGTTTTATTTTTTGCTGCTGTTTTGGCAAATTTAGGACATTTATCAATGAAATTTTAGGTAATTTTTATTCAAATACAGTGCATAATGCAACTTCAGCAATGAATAATTTAGCTGGACTGAACTATTATTTGCCTACAACAGAAACTAATTCTGTATTTCTATGTAATTATACAGCAATGTAAACCCTCATAAACGAAGTATGAACATGCACATTCACCGGTTTAGAGTATGTTCACAATTTAACAGTGGCACTGATGCATATATCATGCAGCATTTTGACAGTTTCTTTGAAGAAAATCAAATATAACAGTGCAACTACTAAGAGGTATATTATATTTCACACAATCCCCTAAAAAATACACCAACTACTGGGATCAGTTACGCACTTAGTAAAGGTGGCAGTGAATGTATTGACTGATCATAGAGATTCATGAAATATCTAACTACATGTGCACAACTTTCTGAAATTATGCAGTACATACGACTGCTTAAATATCAGCATTAGTTTGTAGTACTCTCCATACATGTGTGAAGTACCAAGTTACTGCGGATATTTGCTTCTACTGGCAACTAATAAAGACTTTATGACAGCACTGTACCACTTGTAGAAGCCATGTAGTATCGAAGACGAGGGAAATCGTGTTCCATCATGTAACATAAATAAGGAAGTGTCCCTACTGTTTTCAGCAGGGGTTCAAGAAATCCAGCATTTTTGCTGCTGGGGCTTTGACAGCCAATGGTTCACTTCAAATAATGTTACAAAACGAAATGTTTACATTCTTAAATTATATAAACTGTGACAACAGTTTTCCAGTACAGTGAATACTTATGGGATAAGATATTGCTAGCACTCCAAATAAAACAAATAATATTTGAAAGTATTGTTCCAAGCCCAATGTTTGTAAAAATTCTAATTAATTAAATTCATCAAAATTCAGTAATAGACTGTACCACTGACACACATATTACTAGATAGAATGGTCAAGTCATAAAACAGATTCTTTTTCATTATTATGAAACACAACTAGAAAGAAATGCTACGCAACTTTATATCTGCATCTACAGACTATCCGGTTAACAAAATGGGTTATCAATGTACTAATGAGTCACAAGAAATGACAGTGGGCATCACTGTGGCAAAAAATGTGAATGACAACTGCTTTATCCAATGATTGTTCCCACACATACATGCATATGCTACCTTAAAAACAAAGTTTTGGGTCACTGAAATGTTGGATGATCACACCTGCACTGCCAAAGCAATTTCATCTTCGTCTTGCTTCATCCCGACTCTGAAAAATAAATTGACTGATATTACCATCAGGATGCTATGCACATGCAAGACCCTCAACATACATGTGCACGCACGCACGCATATATATATATATATATGAACACCCTATGATTTGAATTTAGGAATAAAATGTTTTCTTTCATTTTAACATAAGTGAATCACTAGAATAGAAATTTCAATTGTAATTTGATTTAATTTAAGGCCTTCTTTCTGAGAACCAAAGATAAAACCCAACAAACCCCACATGCAAAATTGTCCTGAAAATATGTACACCTGAAAAATAATCTTACTGGTAGCTTTTTCAATTCTGGTGCTCTGTTCTCTTCTTCTTCTTCAGAATCTTCTTCAGCCCCTTCATCTGTGGATTTATGATTTCCTGTTTGTTCTCCTTCTGATGATCCCGATTCAGGAATGGTTTTGCTTACTACACACAAACATTTTAAGCATAAATGAATTGTCAATTTGACACGTTACTTTTGCATTAAACAAATTTACTGGATGTACAAATGGCTTAAACCTAGAGAGTCTGTTAAATGAAGAATGCAGAATATCATGAAACAAAAAATTGCAAGATTCTGATAAAAACTGGCATGTGAAGCAGTCAACAGTAATTCTTACCATCTCTACAAGAAAATAAAATCTGTGAATTTTCTTCATGACTGTGCAAGTGCAAAGTAAGAACTGAACATGCTGTAGTTTTAGACCACTTCTTATAATAAAGGAAAGAACAAGTAATCAACAACACAAAGATCCACCTTGATAAGCCAGCTGTTACTCAGCTGGTCAAGAAACTCCCCACATTATATGGAATCAAAACAGTCATTATCATATTCACAAGTGCCTGCCAATGAACCCATTCTGAACCAACTGAATCGAGTCAGTGTTGAAGATATCTGAGGATAATGTGAGACAGGTGTGGTCATTGATTGTTATCAAACAGTAGAAATGATTACAGAAAAAGCTGCTGGAGATAGGTGCCCATCCTCATTAAGACATAATAAAACCAACTCTGGCATAATAAACAGTGTACAATAATTAAATAACTCCATGGAGCACAGTCTTCCCAAGAGCTATGCTGGCGGTAGCATAGCTACTGGTAGGGCCTCCCTAGCCAGATTGTTCGAGGGGGAGAGGTCAGACTAAGACAGGTACCCTGGTTCTCCAGGTTGGGGGTTGGTCGCAAGGCTAACAACCTTGCACCGTAAAAAGGAAGATGTTTCGAAACCTCGATCAAACCCTTGGACAGACGGACCTAACAGAGGACCAAATGGAAGAGGAGAATTGAGGAGGCCATGGACCGAATACGGACCGGAGAGCCATAGAAGAAGAAGAATGGAACACAGTTTCACCTAGTCAAAAATTTCCCACCATTTATGAAAACTTAAGGTTCAACAACAGGTTCAAGATCCTGCTACCCATGCCTTTAATGAGTCAAATGAATCCAGTCCACACTCACTCTCCCATTTTCATTAAGATCCATTTGAATACTTTCTTTCCAAGTGATCTCTTCCTGACAAGATTCCCAGCCGAAACTGTGTATACATGTCTCACATTACCACACCTCACCACATGCCCCGCCCATATCTTTCACCTTTATTTGATCATCCCAACATCTGCAGCCCTGACATCCTGGTACAATATTTACATAAATTTAAGCAAAACCTTAACAATATTTTTATTTCTTAGATTTTTAGTCCCTGAATATACTTTACCATTTGGGACAACAAAAACAAAGCTAGGACAGCAACTGCTTGTTGCTCTGATGGCAAACTGGTGTAAATTTGTAATAAATCATATTATAAATTTACCTATATTTCTTTACAAACAAAACTTGCAATAGGTATAAAGTGTATCTCTACGAAAATATTAATTTTAAAACAATTTGGGGGGTTAAAATATAACTACAATATTTCTGATTATGAAATATATGCATTTATTTTCTCCTTTATAATTGCAGCAAAAAGATAACAGACTCTTGATACATCTTACAGTACTTCAGTATATGAAGAAATATAATAAAATTACCAATTCTGTAACAAAATATAAAAACTATATATGTGAGAGAAGAGGAAGTACTTATTTACCATAGAGTGGGACACACTGACACACTGAAACACTGGCAAGAAAAGACCACTGAACACTTTCCTTACAATAATGAAGTGGAAGAAGACAGATCAGACTGTACAACAGTTGCTTCAAACTTAATAGGAAGCCCTTTTAGAGAAGAAAATAACATATGAATAGATAAACAACCTTAAAATATAAAACCCACAGTATAAAAAAAAATTAATATAAAATCATGCATACAAACAGAACTGTGTCCTTTCAAGTGTAAACAGTTTTGTTTGTATGCATGATTTCATATTCCAACACACTGCACGGTATGCGAGGTTTTGAGATAAAAAATTGTTTTAAGTGGAATCTCCATAACGTAATGCTAATCTGTTTATAACAGTGAAAGAAATACTGGAGGATGTTCTTTGTTTCGCCATGATGCTGTGGTATATTATTTCCTCTCAAATCTACTCTACTTCTTTTAACAGAAGAAAACAGGTGGTAAAAGTCAACATACCTAATGGGTCCACAGTGAGTGAATAAACCTTATCAGGGCTGAGATGACTTGTATGTTGCTTGAATAATGTTACATGATCAGCAAATGCCTGCCAGAAAGTTCTACCTTCTGGGATGGTGAACATTGTCTATAAAATTTAAAAAGGAAAAACAGATGATAATTACAATATAAATTTTAATACTGTCTTTGAAATTCTGTATTCTCAGTAAAATATAGGTACTCACTTTAAACCTATTATAGATGTGATCTGCTTTTTTTCTTATTTGACCAGCCTTTGTTGCAAATTTTGTCTGGAAAGAAACATAAAAATGTTTTACTTCTTATAAAAACATTAAAATAACTTATAATGACACAAGTAAACTACAAACTCACTTTCTGCTCATCATCATAATTCCATTCAGAAATATTTCCAATGTATCTTCTCAGCTGAAACACAGAAAGCAAATTCTTTGGTTACTTTCAGATTAGGACAGGTTTTGTAACAAGACTGTACTAATTAAATATAGTAATTATCATTAAAGAAATTGTAGGATAACAATAAACAGTTTACCAGAGGAGATAGAGGAATAACAGAGCACTGAGTACAGTGAAATCTGAAGCTAGCTAGGCCAGAAGTCTTCCCAAATATAAATCAGATGTAATCAATAACCATGTAGATCTAAACTGCTTAGTAATAAGTACCAAAAATGATTGACTTGTTTTCACTATATTTATCCAAAATACAACATGCCCCTGAATATGATCGGCTCTCCAATTTTTATGGTGTTTAAAAGATATATCATATTGACAATTACTGTCTTGCTTCACTGTTATTATCCCTGCCATGTGAAATAATATCGCAAAAACCCAAAATTACAGTATCATTACTTCTGAAACACATTTTTTCTTTCTAAACATTAGGATGCTTTTGTGTAATGTTTGCTGTCTATCACAGAAATGGTTTCATTTAAAAATGTCCTGTAACCAACCTTGTCTTGCGCTGAAGCCCTAGATTCTGGTTTCTTTAATAACTTATAGTACCTTCAACTGGCATATTTCACGACATCACCCACCCAACCTGCCACCTCTCATTTAAATATAAAGAGAAATTTTCTACCCATTAAAATTTTTCTGTTTGCTAACAAAAATTCTTCAGGTATCAGCTATTTTCTAATATACCCAGCAATCAGTCACTTTGAACTTTCTGGTTGCAGTGCAATTCCCAATTTTTTTCTGCTATAAATCTTCAGTTTCTCAAAGACAACAATCATTGTAGTTGTGTTAACCCGTCGACGTGGTGGTTTAAAAACCCTGCATATACCGCTGTCGTGCTGTTCCGGCGGCAGTATTTTTTAAATGCCCGTTTAAATTTTGCTGTAAAATACTCTTTTTTCATAACTTTTGAACTATATGAGTTATAATTATGAATTTTTCACTGAAATCCTCTTAAAAGATGGTTTTATAATCTTACCTTATAAGATGAGATGTGTGAGCAGTGGAAGCAAGTCGATTAGAAGTTTAGTTTCAGAAAAAAACGGAGTGTACACCAGCCGGTTCTTTGAATAGTAAGATCTA